TTCAGAAATTCGGAAATTCAAAAATTCAGAAACTCTAAAACTCCTAGGTCAAAAAGTCCAACTAAATCAAATTTTTGGAATCTTCTAGAAACTCCAAAAAAATTTTGTACCCAAAAACATTTTTTCTTCTGATTTCCTTGTATTCTAGAATCTCTGTCTAGAATTCCAAATTCTCATTTTTCCCACGTTTCGTCTCTGATTGCTCATTACTCATTACTCATTCACAGTTCTCAGATTTCTTAGCTCCGCCCACTTTTCTCTCTCTCTCTCTCTCTCTCTCTCTCTCTGTCTCTCTCTCTCTCTCTCTCTCTCTCTCTCTCTCTCTCTCTCTCTCTCTCTCTCTCTCTCTCTCTCTCTCTCTCTCTCTCTCTCTCTCTCTCTCTCTCTCTCTCTCTCTCTCTCTCTCTCTCTCTCTCTCTCTCTCTCTCTCTCTCTCTGTCTCTCTCTCTCTCTCTCTCACACAATCAATCTCTCTCACTCTGCGTCTCCCTCTCTCTAACTTTGATTTATAGACTCCTTCCAAGTCTCTTAAGACTCCGCCCACTTCGCCGCGAAACTTTTCGGCTCCGCCCACTTTCGAGAGCAGCTCCACTTCTTCGACGGCGAGCTCTCATTCCATTTCTCCTCCACACAGAGTCTTGACGTTCTTCCCAAGTACTCTGAAAGCAGCAAATATGCTTCACCGAACTGTCTATTTGGCTCTTTTGGCCCTCATCGTCGTCTCGGCCACGGCCTCGGCCATCAGTCTTGAGCAAGCCGGTCAGTTTTGAAAAGTTTTGTTATGAGAAGGCTATTTAATCTAGAAGGGCATTTTCTCAAAATACCGTTGTGTTCAATAGAGCGCTCTTGCCGAAATTCGCTGTATTGTCAGCAGGGCGCGGTTGCGCGCGGCGCCAATAGTATTGCTTGGAAAAATCAGGTTTTTATCGATTTTTTTTGCCATTTTGACATGATTTTCTTGTCTAGAAAATGATTTAAAGGCCAAAACACACATTTTGAGTACAAAAGACTGAAAAATTACAGAAAAATCGAATTTTTGAATTTTTTGAAAACAATTTTTTATTTGAAAATTTCGATTTTTTGCCATTTCGACATGATTTCCTCATATATTTTGATTGCTAACACATCCATGACATGAAAGCTGAAAACTTTGAATTTTTTGAAAAAAAATTTTTTGAAATTTTAAAATTTTTTAATTTAATATTTTTAAGATTTCCCAAATATTTCGAATTTCAGGATTTTTGTAGTCTCTAGGAACCTGGAATTTTCACTGAAATTTTTAAGCTCCGTGAGAAAAAAAAATCACAACTTTTCAAAAAAAATAATTATTTAATTAAAACAAAGGGCTTTCAAAAAGGTTGTGGGAGTCGTTTTCATTTTGCCCTTTTTGACGAAAACTCCTATACTGAATTATGTGTTAATTGCCTCCATTCTAGAGGAAAAAAATTTCAATGGGTACATAATCCATTTGAGATAAATTCAAAATGTTGAGTTCAAAGGGAGTTATGGAGCTTGAAGTGAGCTAAGCGCTAATCTACCAACATGGAATTATACCTAGATTGTGTTTTGATTCGCCTGCAAGCTAGCATTGATCAAAATTAATAATGTATAATATTAATCTGTAGCTCTTGTCCAGGGCTACATTTAACATTTTGATTCATCAAAAAATATTAGGTTCGACGACATATATGAGCAAAAAACCAAAAGTAGCAGCGATCTAGACTTTCGCACCTTCTGCTTGAAATAGGGCTAGATTCACATAGTTAATGCTTAGTATTATTTTACAGCTCTATCCAAGAGCTACAAGATACAAGTTAAATCAATAAAAACTATTGAGTTTGAAACGAGTTATAATCAAAAAACCTAGGGTGTAGTGGTGGTGGTAGTATAGCGAGCTAGAGATCTTGTAGTTTGTACCCTCCTGCTTAGTACAAGAACGGAAATTTTGTAAATAATATTTGATGGTTCTGTAGAACTTTTCAAGCGCTACACGACACACTTTGAATTTTTCAAAAATTCTAATTTTGAAGCGAGTTATAAGCATAAATGCTAGAGTGTAGTGGTGGGGTAGTCTAGCTAGCTAGAGAACTTGTAGTTTTGACTGTCCTGCTGGGCATTAGGGATGAGTTGGCATAGTTGATATTTATACCAATTTGTAGCTCTTTTTAAGGGCTACAAGATACAAATTGAGCTACTGCCAAAATCTGATTGCGAAGCTAGTTTTAAGCAATTCACTAAGCCAGCCCCTCAATATCAGGCATCCCACTGACTGCGGCATCATAGCTCCCAGACTTCGCTGTTGACATAGTTGATATTAATATCAATTTGTAGCTCTTTTTAAGGGCTACAAGATACATTTTGAATTGTTTCAAAATTATATTTTTGAAGCAAGTTATAAGAGATTTTCTGAGCTTAACCTTCTTTTTTTAAATTCAAATTTCCCGCCAAATCCTCTTCTTCCCATATTTCCTCCAAGTCAACAAGGAATTCATATGAATAGTATAGATCCATGCTTCTCAGAACTTTCTAGAGACAAAAAGAAAAGTTTTATGGCTCTTCCCATGGCTCCGAACCAATAAAAACAAGACTCTCCGACTTTTTGATGACGTGGCGAAGGGCGAAAAAAAGAGACAAGGAACCCAAAAATATGTGGAAAAAAATAAGCATGAGCGATCTGGAAATTTGAGAAAAAACGGCCTAGGAATGATGTCATATAAGGAATTATAAGAAAATGTTTTTCTTTAAAAAAAATAGAAAGTTCCAGAAAAATGGGGAAAAATGGCAAAAGGGAGGCGCTCAGGCTCTTTCGTGTCCCAAAAAATTAAAAATTCTGAACAAAATAAAAGTTCCCATAGCAACTATTGTGCTCTTCTAAGAGCCAGAAGAAACACACAAGAAAGGAAAAACCTGAAAAATTAATATTTTCAGACGGCCGAATGAAGATGTGCCCTCCCGGGGGCTCTACCTTCACCATGGCCTGGAGCATGTCGTGCTCGATGCGCCGGAAACGCGACGTCTCCGCCGATGACTACTACGGAGGCATTGGTGAGTATAATTTTGCATTTTTAATATGCTCAGGAGATCAGGCATAGTCGAAAACCCATTGTCACAAAAAAAACCAGAGAGAAAAACCTATCGTACCGCCCAGGGGAGTCGAACCAAGAACCCTCTTCGGCTCCAAAGTCACCACCACTAGCCACTACACCACACTAGTGTGGGCGTCCAACCACTGTTGCGTGGCGCCTCGCCACCCACCGCGCCCTTATAAACCAAACCAATTGTCGGCATAGCCCGCCCCCCATAGCCTAGTGGTTAGTGACGCCGCCCTTGAAGCAGGGACTTGTTGGTTCGACTCCCCTGGGCGACCCGTTGATTTTTAATTTTTTGCTTTATTCTACAAGGTGAATCAAGATCGCTTTATTCGATAGAAGCAATATAATTTGTGATTTTTTTTCAGCCAAACGCGCCCTGATCGCTCCATCGATCCGTCAGCTCCAAACAATCTGCTGCCAGGTCGGCTGTAATGTGGAGGACCTCCTCGCCTACTGTGCACCAATCTAGTAGGCCACGCCCCCTTGTTTCCATCTTCACTTCTTCAATTCCACTGTATTTGTACTTTTCCACACCAACATGAGCCATCATCCCACCCCCAGACACCGTCAATTTCCAAAAAAAAAACCAAACATCTTCATCTTCCCTTTCTTCGTAATTTATCTTTTTGTCCTGTCGTCATCAATTGTTTCCACGAAAATTCCACCTGAATGAATCAAGCTGTTAAAGAAAGTATTTTTTAGAATTTTCAGTTTTTCAGGGAGACCAGAAAAATGATTTCAAAAATATTTAGGATTAATTTTTAAAAAAAATATATATTACAGAAAAACGCACAAATAGGGGAAAAATGCAAATGCGCTCTATTGGACACGAAGTTCAAAATGGAGCGCATTTTCAACGAAATTTCCAAAAATAACGTAAAGAGAGATATCTAGAAGAAAATGAGAATTTTCGGAAACTTTTTTGAAAAATTAAAAAAATTTTTTTTGGGAATTTCGAAAAATTAAAGGGACACACATATTATGCAGATTTGTGAGCAGATGAGATTCGGGGTGGTGGTCAGAAAATTGTACAAAAAGAGGAAGGTTAGGCGGGAAATTCGAATTTTGGGGATAGTAAATTTAGAGAAAAAAAAGAAAACATCAAGTTTTTGGATAAAAAAATTTCGAATAAAAAGGCGGGAAATGCAAATTTCTGAAAATTTGAAAATTAATAAAAAATTAGTAAAAAAACGGAGAAATTTAGAGTAGAAGCGAAGCGTCGTCACGGGGCAGCAGCTTGAATGGGTCGCCGTCGAACCACTGAAAATAAAAATGTTTATTGAGAGAATCTGGATAAACAGACACACAGCTGGATTTATTTTTTGTGGGAACAAATTTGAGAATTTGTTTTCTAGCGAAGTGGTGGCCTAGAAAAGCAACATTGCAAAAGTTAGGCCACCACTTCAAAATGGCCTAAAAATGACCTGACATGACCCTGGTGTGTTTTCTAGGCCATTTTGAAGTGGTGGCCTAACTTTTGCAATGTTGCTTTTCTAGGCCACCACTTCGCTAGAAAACAAATTCTCAAATTTGTTCCCACAAAAAATAAATCCAGCTGTGTGTCTGTTTATCCAGATTCT